AAAAAAATCAAATTTTCCTAATGGGCGGTGCTGGCGTAACGCACGTGATTATTTGGTCAAACACGTACAGATCGTTCACATTGAGTACATTTTATTTTTGTTTTAATCCCCGTCCCTCCCGTCATTTATAAATTTTCATTTTAATAGAATTTAAAAAATATGGGGATCTATACAACGCAGCGATGAAGATAGCCGCACCGGTGATGGGAGAAGGTTAATTTTATTTTTCCCTACTTCAAATATGTAATATTAATGTTAAAATTCTGAAAATAGCGCGACAGTTGCACTATCACCACCACCACCCACCGCTTCACCAACGTATACCTCGCTATCAGCACCCCTCACCGTCACGTCCGCCGCCGCCCCCCACTATCGCTACCCCCGCGCCCGTACCGCGTAAACGTTTTAACGATAATTCGGTGGTTAGGGTTAATCGTAAAAAAAATCGTACGGCATCGGTGAACGCGACGTGCGGTTTTGTTGAAATAGACTCGTCTTTTAGACGCTCCGTCGTATGGTATTACGCGAAAAACGTCAATAATTATACCGATTATAACGTTTTTCTACGATCCGTCAGGACGGAGCTGGTGACGCTATTACGCGAAACGGTACATGTTCACCCGGTAAAGTACCACCTCAAACTGGAGGCCACTTACGATATCCCCAAACTCGAACAGTCTTCCGTGAATAGGGCTTTTAAAACGTCTGCCAGGGAGTTGTACGAGTTCGGGGATATCGATGAGATGGTGGAGGAAGACTTTTCCGCGCTTCTCGCCGAGGAGGACGTTTATCGCTGTAAGGGCAGTGGATACACACTCGCGTGCATAGACGGGCTGCTTTTAGGCGTGTACAAGTACACACCGCTAGGCGGCTCGTCTTACGTTCCGCTACCGGCGCGCGTAGCTAATCGTAAGGCTGTCGTAAACCCGCAAAACATTGATCGCGAATGTTTCAAGTGGGCGATTCTGGCGAAACACGTGCAGAACACAGCGCACTGCGAACGGGTCGGAACGAATTATTCGAGCGAGGAGTACCGGTACGACTTTTCCGCGTTATCAGTCCCCACCCCCGTATCGGAAATAAAAATGTTTGAGCGCTATAACCCCGGCACGTCCGTAAACGTGTACGGTTTGGGAAATTGCGGCAATGAGAAAATTTCACCTCACACCGTATACCCTCTGAGGGTCGTGGATACGGAGCAGGAGAATCATTTCGACCTACTGCTGATCACGCACGAGGGGGATAACCATTATACGTTTATCTCGAATTTTTCCCGACTCGTCAGCACGCAGATGACCATGCGGGAACATAACGTTTTCGTGTGCAAAAAGTGTTTCACCCGTTTCGACGAGCGGCCTACGCGCTATAAGTGTAGCGGTGCGGCGGCGCTCGCGGAGCATATGAAAATATGTGGCCCGCACAAACCGATAGTACCTTTGATGCCGTCGGAGGGGGCTACGGTACGATTCGACGCGTGGGTTAAAACGCAACGCTTACCGTTCGTCGTATACGCCGACTTCGAATCGTATCTCCGTAAGTCGACCGAGACGCGAGGCGCTAACACGCGCGTCTCGCAAGACCACTGCCCCATGAGTTACGGTTTTCTGGTAAAGGCCGCGGACGGTGTGCCCGCGGAATTGCTCGAACGGTTCGAGATTCCGAGCGCACCGGTCATCGTTCGCGGATCGGTTGCGCGAGACGACGTGGCCCGGCAATTCGTCCTGGCGGTCACCGAGATAGCGGGTAAATTGTACGAATTGTATAAGACGACAATCACGGGTATCGTGTGGACCGGCGGTGAGGAGGAATTCGCCGTACACGTGGCGAAAACGCGTTGCGATCTGTGTCGCACGGCGTTCCGCGAGGAAAACCGCAAAGTCGCTCACCACGATCACCTGTCGGGGCGTTTTTTGAAAACATTGTGCAACACGTGCAATTTAAAGCTAA